AACCAGCGAGCCTCAAGCGTCATCTGGCAAGCTTTCTTGTGAGCTGCAGGTGTTTTGATAAAGCATGAGACTTTCACCTTCTCAAAGCTGTTTTAGATAAAACATTTCCTCTAAAGCACACCATAAGGGTTTCGAGAACACCTCTACGTTCTCATTTCTGAAATTCCAGTTAAGGCAAAATAGTGTTACGCTTGCTTCAAAAACCACTTTAGGTGTGAGAAATGATTTACACTCTACTTTCAGAGCAGCTCAAGCTGCCAGTGTGCACCAGAGCGTTCCTGAAGGCCAAAGCCATCCTGTAGTTTCCACAGTGCTCATCTTTAGAGCACATGAGCCATCATTGAACCTCAAGATCTCATGACAGGTCGTTGAACTGTCCTCGAACTTAGCCATGCTCTTGTAGTATGCCTCACATGCTAATGAAGCATTAGGTTCGTCTCTGCAGTGCACTTCTTCGTAACAAACGACCGTCCCGCTCTCCCAATAGGCAACCTTCTCTAAGAACTTATGATAGACAAAACAGATTTCAGTTGGAGACTGCAGTCTACAAGGTAGTCCAAAATTTAAACAGATGCCACATACTTTGGGGGTCGAAGGTTATGCGAAACAAGCGCAGGGAAGGTGACTGTGCTGTAATTTTTGTTGAACGAAACGTTATCAAATGACCGCTAAAAGTATGTAGAGATATTGGACGCACAAAACACACTGTGAATAGTTGCATGTCTACTGCTGCGTACCGATTCCAATGGTGCGTGAGTTTTAGCAGAGTCCTTCAATGCTTTTCTGGTCACGAAACTCCGCCCAAGTTTGATATAGGGACCAATCTGTCGCTAAGGCGCCACCCGTCGTAAGGGAGCCACAAGCCGCCACCAATGCTGGGCTTGTATGCGCACTGCGGCCGAGCGTTTCGACGCGATTATGTGCGTGCTGGTCTTCCCGTTACCATTGTTTTAAACGTCTCTGAACGCAATCAATGCCACCAGATACATAAGTAGAAAAGGGATCCAGTGTCGACGACGAATGAGAGCTGTTTACTTTGGAACACACGCGTAGTTTACTTGGAAGTGCGGGCCCACTTTATAAACAGCAGCGCATTAAAGGTTTCTCAACACCGAGCGATAACGCATTCGGTCAATAATTGTCTCATAGCCCAATTAATATGCATACTTACGAGTGCTTCAAAGCGATACTTGCGAGCTATAGCTCACAAGTGTTGAAAGACGATGCTTATGAATCCATGCTCTTGATGCGAGCAGCTACTGCTTGATCTGCTCGACACATGTTTATATTTGCGCCCGGCCAAAGGGCGATTATTTTATGCGGTAGGTGAGCTTAGATTCTGGTAGGGCCGCTAATAGGGGGAGGAAAGTGAACGAAATGAAACACGACCGGGTAGTACAGGAGCAATCACATTGTTTTATATCCGGCTCGCTGCTCGCGGCGCTACTACCACAAGTATTCAGTGAACTGAATGTTGAGCCAGAAGTTTATATTCTAGACCTTTCAATTGAGTTCATACCCAAATGCAGCAGTTGTTTTGGACACACTTTTGTGAGCGCCGATCGCTTTTTGACTCGGGGACGTTCAATACCGAGGGCTTTCGCGACCGCTCTAAACGTGCCCAACTTTGATTGATCACTTCTTTCCACGCAGTTACAACGGACAGTCCGCCGCTTGACGTTTTCTTGTGTTTACTGTTTAGGGCATTATGATTTACCGGCCGACAACCCATGATTTCTTCGGGAATGGAAGTACAGCAGCCTAATCTGGAAGTTCCTTTTGATGCCAGTGCTACCCGCTTGGCCGCCTCTGCCACTACCGAGGTACCATCTCACACCTTTGGTTTTCAATTTTTGGGTCGGAGGGGGGGAAAGGCGGTTATGATTTAAGGCATGCAATAAATCTTAAATTTGGTGCGATGATACACCGCCTAGTAGTCAGGTTGGTACTTATGAATGGGAGATTCACATATGGTGCATGTAATGGGAGAAGTTGGAAAACATTTATTTACCACAAAATACATACTGAGGACCAACACTTTGGAGAAGAAAAGCACTAGAAACTATTGCAGCTGTTCCGAGCAATGTTACACAATCTGTGACTCTACTGTACATGTGTATTTCGTTTCATTAAAAGCTGCACTCTGCCTTAGGTCACTGCCTAAATAAACTGTATTGTATATACACCATTTACACTATATGCAGATAATATGAATAGTACGAAATATCACAGTGTAATGTATACAAGATATTCAACACTATATACAAATGGGAAGGCGTGCTCACATACACAGCCATTATGATTAACACTGTGGCTTCCGCCCACCACCAAGCAGGGCAAGAACTGCGCACAGTTGCCCGCGAGGCTTTGTTTTTTTCTCGAGTGAAGGAAATGTAATCTACATCTAAAAAAAAACGTGTACGACCTCAGCTGTTGTCCCTAAAAAGTGCAACAGACAACCAACACTTGCTGACGCTGTGCGGCTGTCGAGCAAAATTGCCCTCAACAATCCTCGCGTACACGTCCCCGCATGCCATGGTTTTGCACCGTGTACGTCTCTACATGTTCGTCAAAACAATTTCAGTAGAGCAAGAAGACGGCTGCTAGGTACTTAAATAGCCCCTCGATGTTGTTTTGGATCAAGGCAGATGGCTGACGTGTTGTGCTCAACATCGTTTCGATGCAGCCAAAGCAATTCCAAATTAAGAAAACTTCTTGGCCACATATCCGCCGAGGTAATCCAAAATGGAGTCTTTGGGTCGAAAGGGAGCCAATGTCCTTCACGCAGTCTGTTGTTGGCTCCAGCAAGACATCGTCCAGCAGAACACTATGTGTCCACCTGAAATGTGCACAACTTCCTGAATTTTCCAAGGTGATAAAAAGAAACTTCAGGACACATGCAGGACAAAAACTGCAAAATACCTGAGTCGTAGAGGGCTTTTCCTTGTCAAAAAGACCTTGCAGAGTGAGAAGCAGTTGTGGCCCGCTTTCCGTCAACTGAAGCTCGCTTAGGTGGCCACACGAGGTTGTTCACCCGACAGCATACGGTATATAAAATAAAAACTGCTGAACAGTTGGGTGGCCCCCGTCTCCTGCACATGCCTGGCTATCCCAAGAAGCGCTGGACAGGGAAAAAATTACGGCATATTCACGGGGTGAATGATGATGAATGGGCGAAGCTCCGGAGGGATCATCGGTAAACTGTGAATCTTCCGTGTAATTCGCCCAGTCGATCATCATGTAAGACGTGAGAAACGCTGTGTGTGTGTATATACACAAATCAACTTTTATTTGTTCTTAGACGATGGATGGCTTGCGATGTCCCTTGCCTCGCGCGCTCGCACATCGGGATTCTTTCTGCGAGCGTGCGCTGCTGCCGCCTTGCGCTCTCTCCGCTGTGCAGCCTTATCCATCCGGCGACTCCGAGCGCGTGCCAACAGCGAACGGATTTTATTACAACGCTCCCCCTAGCGTACGTCGCCGCACTCAATCGAACGATTGCCTTCAACCAATGACACGCGCCATATGTGACATCATTCCTATTTTATAATATCTCGCGTCTTTCATCAACTACAAGTACCGCTTTCTAGTTTATAACATCTTGCATCTTTTCATCATCAGCTACAAGTACCACCATCTAGTAAACACTACAAGAACTAAACGAGAGGTGGCTACATACAGGGGACGGTACCGCCATCTAGAGATCACTGCAAGAACTAAACTAGAGGTGGCTACATACAGGGGACGGTACCGCCATCTAGTGAACACTGCAAGAACTAAACTAAGGTGGCTACATACAGGCTACAGGGGACGCACAGCCCACGCCCTAAGGAGCTTCGCCCCTAAAAGAAAGGTATATGTACCAACACATCGTGCCAAAAAGTACCTGAATTACCTCTAAAGGGTCTTGGCCGAGGTTTCCAACTAGAACATAACGGAAGCCAGACTTCAAGAGTCAATCAATCTGGGCCACCGTGCTGTGCAGCGTTATCCTCAGTGCCCCACAAGTTGGTTTGCTAAGGAAGCACACCTGCCTCTGCTTCGGCAGGCTCTCTAAGTATGTGCAGCAATCCTCCAGCCACTTTATGTTCGCCTTCAATGTCTGCAATGCAAGCACTATTAACCTTGAGTACACTATAAAAGAAAAACATATTTGGGTGTGATTTACTCGCTCACCGCGATGTGCTCGGCTTCGTTGTTGTGCACGTCCTGTGGTCTTCTTGAGTTGAGGCAGTCAACTGGATCGTTCATCTGCTTCGTGAAGTGGTATGTACCTGCGGAGTTATGTAGCTTTTGGCAGCCTTCTTGCTTGCTATAAAACTTCATTGCAGACGCCGTGCTTCCGCTGAAAAGCTGAAAATGATGGCACACTGTTGTTGAACGAAAGAGCTTGCATTGAAATTTGTCTTTTTTGACTAATCATCAGCAAAGCTTTGTGTCATTAGTTCGCCTGTAAGTAGCCTTACTAGCCGCTTGGCCGCCTCTGCCACTACCGAGGTACCTCATCACACATTTGTTTTTATTTTTTGGGTGGGAGGGGGGGAAGGGCGGAGTGGTTACTCGCCTGAACAGCAAGCCGGGCACTTATCTTCTGGAAGGCATTCGGGAAGATGTGAGCCCTTGTGAGCTTCGGGACAGCCCGAAGGCCAGCCTGTTGCTCCTCGTACTCCAGCAGGGCAGAGTAGTGGAAGTGATGGACCTCATGTCCTTCCGGTAGCTGCGATAAAAATGTGAAGCCACTCCTCGCAAAGAGAGTAACCTGACGTAGATACGAATTACTGCTTACCAGAAACTTTCCAACCTTCTGAAGATTGTTCCTTATGCATTTGAAGACATGCGGTGGATCAATTAGTGCCTGCACTGTCCGTAAAGGGTCACATGGATGCTGGAATGAAGTTTGCAGCTGTTTCTGGTCACTGTTTATCCCTGAAAAGAACACATAAATGCAGTTAGTAGTGTTCAATTCTTAATTTGACAAATTTAACTCGTGTCCCCAGATACTAACCCAAGCTCCTTAAAGCTGAACGATTTGGTGTTGAATTGTCGCATGTAACGGCATCGACAATAGCGCCAGCGTTCGAAAGGTGCACAATGCACTGGAGCAACAACATCGCTACTATTGAACCAGGGGCTGCACCGGAGGAACAAAAGGTCCCAACAGTCTGCGACCACCCTCCAAGAAATGGTCGGAAGAGAAAGACCAGGACGTGATCGCCATCTTTCTCACAGTCCGAGGGTCTTGTGTGCTCAGCGAAGTTAACTTTTCCGAGCAGAGCCATGTCTGACTCCCTAATGTGCACACTCTTTCTTACGCTCATTTCATCGAACATCAGGACACCTGTAAAAAAATACATCTTATTAGACATGCACCACATATGAGATATGAAGTCATAGAATGCAGTAGTAAGTTTGTGAATTGTTCCAAACCTCGACGCTCTCGCTCAGGAAGTACTTGCAGCTTGTCTTTAAGAACGGTGAATAGACTGCTGTCAAAACCAAAGTCAGCCTTGAGGCTCCTCAGGTACGTGTAGAGGGTGCGAGGGTTAGGCAAGGGAAGGTACTCATTTTCGTGAAGGAATGTATAGACCGCTGTCGACTTAATCTTCAGTAGCAGGCAGTCATAAATCCATGCTTTTTTGTACCTAAAGAGAGTGCAGGCTCGTTGTGCATTCAGGTAAACCGAGGCTGGGGAGTGAACAGTGGAAGTTCATAACCACAGCAAGCAGAAAAAAGAAGATGCACGACATGCATCACACCTTCTTTCCTCATACCGCAATACACAACCACCGCGTTTAAAAATGCCTTGTCATTTTCAATATTAACATGCACCCCTACTCCAGTACGAGAGCAACAGACAGCTTGCATTCTGCGATCATGCAAAGCGGGCGATATAGGATTACTCTGACATGCAATGCTAGCGTGCACTGCTCTTAAAAAATATGCACAAGACAGTGGCACGAAAAGGTGTGCGATTATATTCATAGCTTCGTGGCAGTTATGTGCGACTGAAGATTACCTGGCAGCTTTCGGAGATTTCGCGTTTGCCTTCATGATGCACTGATCGTAAATAAGCTTCTCGCGGGTAGATAGCTTGTCCAGGTTTTGCAAGAGTCTTGCATTTTTGTTGGCCAGGACTCTCGTCTTCGCAAGCTGCTTCTGACACCGTTCGAGTCGTTGCCGCGTACTCGAAAGCTGCGCCTTTAGCGCCTGCACTTCAAGAAATGAACACACTGCCTGTTCCGTTTGGCAGGCTTGATCTGCGTGTCCGCTATCGCTGGCTGCTGCATCTGTAATACAATTCAATAACACTGTTCAGAAGCACCTCAATGCCGCCAGCCGCTAACACGGGGTCATGCGACTGAGGAAACAAAGTAACGCTGCGACTAAACCGGCTCAAGAGCTTACCGTCACTGGCTTCTCCTGCCGAGTCGGTGTTGACATTTTGGCATTCCACTGCTGCGCATTCCGGTGACAATTCGCGCGGCCTCTTCGCTGGTTGCCCCTGAGTCGCAGGCCGTGAACTCGGTTTCGGCTTTGTCAGGTACGCCGGGAGCTCGTCAAAAATTCTTGGAACGGCGTTCGTGCGAAGCCTCGGTTTCTCTCGCTGAAGCGACACGACCACCCCGTTCACGAGGTGCTCGTCGGTTCTCACAACGTCGCTAGCATCAAAATGCTTTTCGCACACCCGAACGTTCTTACTTTCGAAGCCGAAACCGCCAGCTTCCAACCGCGGTATAGCTCACTTCCATTTCTCTCGGAGTTGGTGCTACTTGGGAAACAGAAGAGCGACGCCTTTTCTTTGTTGCTTCGGTATCCGGAGCTGCAACCCGTCACACAGCACGTCTTAGGCATTGTTCATTCAAATTTTCATGCCGTCCACCTTGAGCACGGTGCACTGGCTCATGAAGTTCACGTTTCGCTGATGAAGAAACCGCGAGCTGCCACCACACAACGCCTTCGGGATGCCGCCGCAGCCAGTGCGCCCCGCCGGGCACAGCGGGGCGATGGCCCCCCTAGGACGGCTTGCGCCGCGTAGCGGCCGCTCTTGGCACCATATCAACCTCTCCCATAGAGTGACGGAGAAGTTTCGTGACCAGAACAGTATTAAGGGACTGTGGTATTAGCAACACCAGAAGTGGTGAGCTGATATGGAGCACTTGTGCCAGCGAGGAGTGCAGCCCTGGACAGTGTTGGATTTTATTTTTATTTTTTATTCTATACTGCCAGCCACCCTTTGGCAGCCAGGGCAGGAGTGGTACAGTGCAGATTTTGAACACAAAGTTTACACGCGACCAGTAACACGGTCCGCGGTACACAGGGAAGAAATATATCAATAAGCTTACAATTGTCACGACACACAAGCGCACGCTATCAGTAACACAGCCCACGATTCGCAAAGCAGCAGTATTCCTCGTTATAAATAGCTACATGAATAAACAATAAAACTGGCAATGCTAGTCTAATGCAAAACACACAAAGTACACTACGCGCATTGACCAGCATGCGTGAAAAAAAAAAGACAGTGTGCGTTGTGGCATGGTAGCAAGATAACACCTGAAATACGTTAGTTCAATAGGACAGGGGAACAAGACCAGAACTTTCAATCATACACAACTTTGAATAGCCGTTGAAAAAGCAATCTGATTAGTTAGGTTAGTAACGTCGCGTGGCAAAGTGTTCCATTCTGCTATCGTTCTCGGGAAAAAGGATAGACGGTGAGCGTTTGTTCTCGTGAAAGGCATTAGGATTGTTTTGTTGTGCTTGTTCCGGGTGGGGCGTGACATGTTGAATTCGAGATAAGTATTGAAGTGAAGCTTTGAATAACCATTGACTATACTGTGTAATACTTTAAGTCCATGGAATTCACGGCGGGACTCTAGTGTTGGTAGGTCAGAACGCCTGCGCCGTTCTGTCACGGATACTCGCCTGCTGTATGCGTTGTGAATAAATCGCAGCGCTTTCTTTTGTACCCGTTCGAGCATCGCCGAATCCGTCTTTGTGTGTGGGTCCCAAACAACGTCTGCATATTCGAGCAAGGGGCGGACCAGCGTAGTGTAAGCAACGGTCTTCGTTCTGCTTGTACAGTGCTGAAGTCGGTGTCTTAGAAGCCAAAGTCTGCGCAGTGCTGATGATGTAATCTTTTGTATGTGATTGTTCCAGGTGAGGTTTGATGTCATGGTTACACCCAAATATTTGAACTCGGTAACAACCTCTAATTCAACATTGTTAATTTGATAAGCATATTGAAATGGAAACTTTTTGTGCGTTATTGTCATTGGCGGCACTTTGTTGTGTTGAGGCTCATGTTCCAATCGGCACACCAATTACTAACAGCTGTTAAGTATTTGTTGAGAACTTTCTGGTCATTTACCGATTCAATAGGGAGATAAACAACGCAGTCATTGGCAAAGAAACGGAAACGCACCGGGCAGTTGAACTGTAAGTCGTTTAAATAGATATTGAAAAGCAACGGACCTAAGACGGAGCCCTGTGGGACTCCAGAAACAACTGATGACAAGTGAGAGGCAGAGTCACCTATCTGAACGTACTGATACTGGCGTGATAAGTAGGAGTCCAACCACTGAGTTATTTTCTCATTTATGAACAAGTATCGAATTTTTAACATCAGGTTGCTATGGGGTACTCGATCGAAAGCTTTTTCGAAATCCAAGAATATAGCGTCAATTTGCCCCCCTTATCTAAAACTTTTGAGATTTCGTTAGTCGTGTGTATTAGTTGTGTAACCGTGGAAAATCCACGCCGAAAACCATGTTGATTGCTCGTAAAAAACATGTTGCTCTCAAGATACGTTACTAGGTCTTTAAATATAAAGTGCTCCAAAACTTTACCGGCTGTACACAAAAGGGATACGGGGCGGTAGTTTTTTACAGAAGTTTATCGCCGGATTTATGCACAGGAGTAACTTTTGCAGTTTTCCAATCGTCTTGAACCACACCGCTTAGTAGACTTTCGTTAAATATAATGTAAAGGTATTTCGAGCACCACTCCGCATACTGGTAAAGGAATGCATTTTGTATTCTGTCGGGATCTGCGGACTTTTTAGGGTCAAGGTTGAGCAAAGCCGAAAATATTCCCGGCTCGGTAATAGTTATATCGGGAATGTCAAAGCCAGGAATATTGAAATTAGTGCAGCACTGGGTTGCACGTACAAATACAGACCAGAAAAAAGCATTAAAAGCCCTTGCTTTCGAGCAGGCATCGGACACTTCCCTGTCGTTTATTTTAATTTTGCCGACTGGGTCTTTCTTTTGGGTGATGCGAGTCCAGAACTTCTTAGGGTTGGTGACAAGAAAGCCGTGCATCTTAACATTAAAAAGTGATACTTTGATTCTTTGATATTTTTCCTTAGGTCAGCCCTTAGGGAAGGTAACACGTTAGGCGTTTTGGGCGCTCGGGAGAGACGCTTAACACGACGTTTTAAGTGAATTATGTCACGCGTAATCCACGGGCTTTGGCGGTTAATCTTTCTTTGTTTTTGTGAGACATATTTGTTAATACAAGTATGCACGGCCGTCTTGAAGTGCAACCATAATCCGTTTACGTCGAGATACCCGTTATTGTATTTGCTCCTAAAGGTGTCGAAATCTAGTTCGAAGAAGTCCAAAATACTTTCATTATCAGCACTGTTAAAATCTTTAAATGGCTTAATGATTGCCCGCGAAGTTGAGGGCAACTTATGACTTTTAAACTGTACTTTTTCGTGATCTGAAATCCCGGGCAGAACATTGACATCAAAACCGAGCCGTTGAACGGATTCAGAAAGAAAGACAAGGTCAAGTAGTGACCTTGAGTTTGTCGAAACACGACAAGGTTCATGCACAATTTGGCCTAATTTACAAGAAAAAACAACATCAAGCAGTAGTTCGGAATGGTCGCAGGTAGGAACGGCACGCATCGAATCCCAGTCAATTCGGGGCAGATTAAAATCACCGCAGAGTACCATATGCGTGTAACGCTTGGCATACACGCCTACATAATCTGCAAATGCTTCAAGTACTGAAATGTTGGAATTTGGTGGTCTGTAAAATACACCGATAAAGATGTTGAGTTGCGGATGGTGAAGAACAATGCAAGCCATTTCAATGTTTTTGTGTTGGGGAAGGGGGGTATAGTCCAGGCCTTTTTTTATTATTGGTGCAACACCCCCACCTTTTGAAGCCCGGTCTGGAATTTCGTCACTTAGCCACGTTTCTGTTACAGCCGTGACGTCGGGATCGTATACGGTGAGAACGCTTTCCAGATCATCAGACTTGTTTAAAATACTTCGTGCATTTATATTCAAAACAGAAAAGCGTTTGGAATTCGTGAGCGGAGGCACGTCAGAGTCGCTCTTTCCTTTGCTATCAGCTCGGTCGTGGTTTGGTGGCAATCGTCACTGCGGAGCGAAAGGGACTCTCGCTCCAAGAGTGTCGTCCCACACAAAAAGCTTACCATCGACTTTGATCTTGTCGAACGACTGCGTCACTTTTATCCCCTTCTTTCTTAGTTCAGCAGTGCTATCCCAAAGTTTTTTTCTGGACAGCCCGGACGCGAGACGAAAAGTCTTCTGATATGCCATATTCCGTGTCTTTCAAGTTTATTACAGTTTTTTAGTATCCTCGCCTTGTCTCTACCCTCCACCAGCTTGAAAATTACTGGTCTACATTTGTTTTCCTTTTTTCTACCTATCCTGTGAATACATTCTATACCGACGTTCTTCACTTTTAGTATTTCACCAAGAATGTCGTTCGATACTATCTGCTCTAGCA